AAGTTGATTCCAACTCAAGGCGACTCCATATGTGTCAGAGTAAAACTGTGCTCCACAAAATTTTCAATGGCTGTGACCTTTTGGAAATCGATTGCCAGCCCTTTCTTCTGAAGTGCTTCCGGGTGGATTCAAACTGCCAACCTTTCAGGTAGTAGCCCAGCACTTAATCATTTGTGCCACCCAGGGATGTCTCTGATGATTAGCAGAAGTATGATCGTCACCTGCCCCTCTTAAAGATAAGTAAAATAAGGCTTAAAGAAGCTAAATAACCTATCTCTGCTTACACAACAGATAAGCAGAAGAGTTAGAATTAAAAGCCAGGACTGCCAGATCCAAAGTCAGTACTTACTCCACTACCATAAGCTGCCAGATGGTGCTGAGTGAAAAATTCCAGGCACTAGCCCCAGAAAAGTCTGCACCTACTCATCCTAGGACCCATTCCTCTACCATCGTCTTCCACTGAGCATCCGAATGCCAGGATCATAAATAACAACAATTGTGTCAACTGATTCTCCTCCTTTGATGGTAGGTAACAAACCTGAAAATATATATTTCTTTATCCAGCGCTCCATCAAATTCCACTCCTGGAATAGATGTGTTGTGACACAACCCAATAAAAATGAAAGGAAGAAAACAACTTTATTTCTCACTACTTCCATCCCTTGTTTGAACCATGAATACTTTAGTTACGTTTCATAAACAGCCTGTCTAGAAACTCATTTTGTAGTGAAATATGCCTCTGTGTGACTTGTATTTGAAACTGTATGACTAGCTTTCAACAGCTTGCTTAAAGAACAGGGCAGTAAGTTTTGGAGAAAGTCTGAAAGGCCTCTTAACTTTCTTTATGCCGTTCTTCTCAGGATGGATGACCCATGTTGTCAGGTATTTGTTCTTTTTAGGAAATAAAATATCTGCCAGATGAATCATCTAAAACTTGCCAAGTGCGAAAATTATTCTAGTCTATATAATATGTAATAATGAGAATGCACTTACGATATAATGTCAAATAGCAAAGTAGGATGTAAAATTATATAAATAGTATGATCTCAACCACACATTATTCTAGAAAGAAAGTCTAGAAGGAAATAATTTAGAATGTTAACTGTGGTTATTTTTGTTTGACAGGATCATGCATGTTTATTTTGCCTTTTCTAACTTTCAGTAAGAAGCATATATGGTTTTTAGAAGACGTTAAATGAAATTACTAAAAAAAAGAAATAATGTTTCCAGAAAGAGGTCTAAACATTCAGTTTTTCCTTCCCTCCAAAAACATTATATAAGATTATGCAAATCTGACTCATAGCAGACAACAAAAGTTATAAATCAATCATGTTTATAAATATAGATACCAAAACCCTAAGTAAAATGTCAGCAAATCAAATCTAGCAATGTGAAGAAAACAATATATCATGATCAGTTAGGGTTTACTCCAGGAATGAAGATTAGAAAACCCATCAGTGAAATCCAACACAATATAAATTAAGAGAGAAAAATACATATATAGTCATTTCAACAAACAAGGAAAAAGCATATGATAAAATTCAACATGGAAATTCAAGAGTTTAGAAAATATGTTCTAGAAAATTATCAGTAAAAGAGAGTTCATAACACACCTAGAGGCACCTCAGAAGGTCACAGACTAAAAACCCTATGGAGCAGTTCTACTTTGCATACATGGGGTCACCATTGTCAAAACTGACTCAATGGCAACTAACAATGACAACAATAAAGAATATGTACTAAAAATTTAATTGTCACACTAAAACGTAATTTAGAAGCATTTCTATTATTCAAGAACAAGCTAAGGATACCTACTATCATTAAGCATTGCACTGGCAAGCCTAGCCAATGCAATAAGCCAAGAAAAAGAAATAAGTGCTTAAAAATTGGAGAGAAAGAAGGAAACTTATTTGTAGATTATGTTTCCTACATAGAAAACCCAAGAGGAGAGAGAGAAAGAAACAGTAAGACAGTTTAAAAGCATTATATATTCAAGATTAAAGAGAAATATATTTTATTTTATTGCTTTATTTCCTTTAATAATTATGTTTATTTTGGCCTACTTAGGAACATTTATTTAATAAAATACTTATTATTCCACAGTCACAAATGAAGAACAAGAAATAAATCAGTTCTGCTACCAGCATGTTCTCTCTTTTTAATGTGTGTGATTTACTGTTGTCGTGCTCCAGATGAGTACATCAAGAATAAAGACGGTAACTAGATTTAAGCAACATTTTTGCATCACGTGTGCATGCGTGCGTGGGTGTATTTCCTCCCTGTGGTTTCATCTCTTTCCCTTCCCTTTTTATAATTGTACAGACAATTGTGAATTCTTGCTGTGGGACAAATGACACATGCATTTTAAGAGTACTCAGTTCTAAAGTGAGAAAAAACAATGTGATGATGATGACGAAGATTAAGAAGAGGCAAAGGAGGAGAGGGGAAGATGAAGAGCAGAGAGAGAGAAAACAGGAGAAAGGAGGGGAATGAAGGAAGATGACAGGGAAGGAAAGAGGGAGAGAAGGGGGAAGGGAAAGGGGGATGAACAAGAAGAGGAAGAACACAGGTGACGTTTATTGAGCACTTAATAAATGCCAGGTACTATACTAATCGCTTCATTACCCTTATTTCAATTATTTATCCTTACAGGGGGCTTGGAAGGTTTGCATGGAATATGTACATTTTATAGGAGAGGAAAACCTCCTTAAAGCACTGAAAAGCAAAGATGTCACCTTGAGGACTAAGGTGTACCTGATCCCAGCCGTGGTATTTTTAATCACCTCATATGCATGTGAAAGCTGGACAACAAATAAGACTGAAGAAGAACTGATGCCTTTGAATTATGGTGTTGGCAAAGAATACTGAAGACACCACGGACTGTCGGAAGGACGAACAAGCGTGTCTTGGAAGAAGTACAGCTAGAGTACTCCTTGGAAGTGAGGATGGTGAGACTTCGTCTCACATACTCTGGCCACATTACCAAGAGGGACCAATCCCTGGAGAAGGACATCATGCTTGGTAAAGGATCAGCAAAAAAAAAAGGAAGACCCTTGATGAGATAGATTGACACAGTAGCTGCAACAATGGGTTCAAACAGCAACAACTATGAGGATGGTGCAGGACCAGGCACTGTTTCATTCTGTTGTAAACAGGGTCTCAATGAGTTGGAACTGACTCAACGGCACCTAACAACAACAACAGAAGATCCTACTCTCATATGTATTGTGCTGAATTTGAGAGCTTCTTAGGATGTGAAGATGATGAAGTCCTAAAAGGGTCCCCTTCACACTCCCAAATTCCTAACCAAGGCAGTGTCCTGAAAAATTAAATCCTTGCTTCAGAACGCTTCTGGTTTTGCATGTTAAAATTAAGAATGAAAAAATATGCACTAGGATACAATTCTTAATGCATTAAGCATTCAAGAGCACAAGTTTAGTGGAAAGGTTAAATTTGAAGTAAAAATGTAAATTTTCAGTTTCCATTGAAAAAGCATTTGAATTCTAGTATATACCAGGCTGCACAATCAATTTTTTTCCATATTGTTGTTCTCCCAAGACCTGTTCTTTCACCCACTTGCTTTCCTTCTATTATCCTTAGACCATGATGCATAAAAAACAAGGTTTACATTAAATTTTAGGGAATAAAATAGACTGCCTCCAAAATATTTGTATTTCAAATAAACATTTAAAGCAACATTTATAGTCCTTCCTGGGGTTTTGGTGGTCGAAGAGTTGCATATGTATTACATTTATGTCCCTCGATTCCTATAGAGTGTCAGACAAATACCATCACAATACATGACTGGGCAGGCATGGCATGTCTGGTAAAAAATCACCGTCCATACACAACAATCAAGGGCACCCCGGTTTACAAGCCCACACTGACAGATTCCAGAACCTAAAAGAAAGCTCTAATAATCTCCTTCCATGCAGCTGAGAAGAAAAGGAAAAGAGCTGAAAACCACTGAGAGAAAACACACACACACACACACACACACACACACACGCATGCACACATGCATGCAGAAAGCAAGAAGCTGCTTAAATCTAATTGCAACAGGGCAACAAACTTACTGAAAAGCCATGAGACCGAATTCCTCAAAAAACATAATATGCAGTAGAATTACTTTATTATCCCACTACACATGCCAGCCTTCACTACCAGATGGTTGAACATTTCATCTATGTCAAGCACTTTCTAAGTGTTGGGAGTTAAAGGGTGAACAAGAGGTCCAGCTCCAAAGGAGTCTACAGTACAGCTGACCACTAATAACAGAGGAAACGTTGGAATACAGTGAGACACCAGCAATGTGCTAGTGAAACAAAACAGACAGACACATTGAACCCAATTTTGGGAGTAAGGAAAGGCTCCTCCAGAAGGGTTCACTAAATTCAAACATGATGAATAGGCAGAAGTCAGCCTCCAAAGAAAGGGGAGAATGAGAAGAATGAAAGGCTTTCAGGCTGAGTTAACAGTCCAGCGGTTCTCAAGTGTGGTCCCTGGACCAGCAACATCGTCACCTGGGATGGTGTTAGAAATGCAAATACTCAGACCCCTTCAAGATGCACAGAATCAGAAAGTTTGGAGGTGGGCCCAGACAGCTGTGCTTTAATACACCCCCTGGGTGATTCTGGTGCTGCCAGAGTTTGAGAACTACTGGTAGTGAACTCCAGTGCACAGAAGGCCTGGAGGGTAAACCGGGGTGGGGATGGGGCGTGCTCAGGCAGAGATATGACTGGAAGGATGGAGAGAAGGCATATCCGAAGGGGCTCTGTATATCATGAAAATAATTTTGGATTTTACCTAGAGAAAAATGGACAGCCGTTAAAGTATTATACTATGAGTACCAAACAAACAAATAAAAACACAAATAATGCTGGTGGCTACTAAAAATATATATGCAATCATAAAGATTGTTCTTCATCTTATTCCAGAGATAAAGAACTCATTTCTAAACAAAAAAGTAGCCATAAACAAGGGAGAAAACCCAGCCCTACCTTTCTTTCTGGAGTCTTTCTTGGTGCTGGTTTTCACAGCTACTTGAAGTTCTGTCTCAGTTGACATCCTACTAAATCCTTAGACCACTTTACACAGATCCCGGGCCTCGGCCAGGCTCATGGAGGACTCCTCTCCAAGAGAACGACTCCTCCCTTCAGAAACGACTCCCCAGGCGGCTCATTTCATTTAATCCTTTCGAGGGCTGTAAACCAAGAGAAGAAAAAATTCAGAATAATTGCCCCTTGAAGTTAAGCTGAAATGAGGGGGGTGGGGGGGTACTAAACCTGCAAACAGACATACAAAAACAGGGAAACCCTGGTCTCCGTGTACAAACAGCTCATATGATTTCAGGAAGCAATTGGCAAGGTTTAATATTCAGTAAAGGAAAACTTTTAGCAAAACGAATATATATATATATATACACACACACACACACACACACACAGCAAAGGAGTCCCTGGGTGGCACAAATGGTTAAGTGCCTGACTACTAACTGAAAGATTGGCGGTTCAAACCCCTCAGAGATTCCTTGGAAGAAAGGGCTAATGATCTGCTTCCGAAAGGTCACAGCCTTGAAAACCCTATGGAGTAGTTCTACTAGGCACTCGTGGAGTCACATGAGTTGGAATCAACTTGATGACAATTGTTTTTTGTTTTTTTTTTTCATACAACAAAGGGAATGAGGGTCTATCCACAAAACTGTTTCTCAAACCAGGTAACTCAAAATCGAGCAAAACCCAACTCTCCATTTTTCCTGTTTCTTATTTTCAAGCACTAGATGTCACCCAGAAAATACAGAAAAGGCATATTTTCTGACCAGCCCCATGGAGACGCTTCCAACAGCAGGGCACCCATCCATTAGCCAAGCTTGATCAGAGCCTTGGCAGCTAAAGCAGATCATAGAAAAGTGACCTGTGGTCTGTCCCCCACTGGCAGGCATCACAGGGGACATGGAGTTGACATACAATTGGGCTCCAAGGGTAAGGTGACAAATGGCGGCTGAGAAACTTTCCAGCAAGCCAATTTTTATGTCAGCTTTTCCCCCTAGCTATAACAGCAGACAAGCATTTAACGTACGGAGAGAAAAGAAGCAGGCAGACACACAGTTCATTCATTCATTCTGTGATAAATATGCACTGCACACTACTAGGTACTATTAAGTTCAGACACTGCGCTAAGAAGAGAATAGGGATAATCATGATAACACAACCACTTCAATTACAGCGAGTATTTACTATGCACTTGCTATACACTATGCCCTCAGCTACTGCTTCACATACATTATCCCTTTTCAATCTCATTTGAATTGAATGAATGTATTTCTGTGTCAAGTCAGTCCCAGAGACTATCTCATAGTTTTATCTGAGAGTTCAGCTGGAAATAAACATTTCACCAGTTATCAATTTTTAAAGAATATTAAGAAAAAGCTACCAGGAATAGCGCTTCTAACTGTGTAGCCAATTCCTTGCTCATCTCACAGATACAAAACCATTTACTCTAAAAAGGCTGACCTCAAATGCCAGTTACAGCTCAAAACGAATAACGTTCCAAGCCTCTTAACTGTGACAATTACAGATGGCTTAACTAGAAGTCTAATATAAAAATCACATAAAAGGCCTAAATACGTGGAAATTCCAACCTTATCTAAAGATACTTGGCTTTTTGTTTGTTCTTTAAATAAGCTAACTATTTTTGTATTGTGGTGCCTTGCATGTTGCTATGATACTGCAAGTTATGCTATTGGTATTTCAAATGCCAGCAAAGCAGGTTTCAGTGGAGCTTCTAGACTTAGACTAGGAAGAAAGGCCTGGTGATCTACTTTCAAAAATTAGCCGAAGAAAATCTTATGTATCAGAACAGAATTGTTCAACCCCCCGGCTCTGGACATGTCATCAGGAGGGATCAATTGCTAGAGGAGGACATCATGTTTGGTGAAGGCGAGGGCCAGCAAGGGCTGGAGAGACTCTGTTGAGATGGACTGCTGCTACAGCCACAAGATGGACTCAGACATGCTGGTGATCGTGAGCATGATGCAGGACCAGACAACATTTTGTTCTGTTGCACGAGGTCACCACAATGGTAGCAGACAAAAACAACAACTATTTTTATAAAGGATGTTGGCCCAAAATGAAAGTTGCCTGAGTTAGAGGATCTAAGGCCAAAGCTAAGGAAAATGGAAAATTATTTTCACAAAATGGGGTCCATGAAACCAGATGCAGAAAGTGACAGCAACTCCTGTCACTTCTGTGTCATCTATCTGCACCACCAGGCCACTAGCCCCAACCGTTCCTCAACCCCATCCTCCAAAAGACAACATTCCACAAAACATGACAGAGTCACAAAATCAGCCTTGTATGGACGTGATTAATCTTACTGATAATGTTTACCATTTTGACAAATATTTACTAAGGACCTATTATGGACCAGGTGCAAATACTCATGGGCTCATGTATGCCAACAGACATATTCTGTCAACCACTCTGGCCAAAAGTAAACAGCAAAAGCCTGATTCTGTTCTTGAAGAGGCTCACCATTCAGCAGAGATGCCAGTCACATAAAGGATGACAATACACATGACCAGAACTAAAACCAGCATAAATACCAGGCATACTGGGGGACAAAGGAGCGAGTATTCATTTGGCTTGGAAGGGTCAAGAAAGCTTCAGAGAGAAGAAGCCATACTCTGTGGGATCCTGAAGGAGGATGCTTCCGTCAACTGGATGATAAGGGGAAGAATCAGCAGGTGCCCAATAAATACACGTAAAATGAATGAATGAATAGTTATTTCAAGCATAAGGACCAGCCTGTGCAAAGGTGAGGAGGCTTGAAGTCAACAACCAAGCAAAGTGTACTGAGGTGGTGACACACTCTCATATCTTGCCCATTTGTCCTTGTGCTGCTACCTTTCTCTGGAATCTCTTCTCAAGTCTACCTTGACATTCTATCAACCCCTCAAGGCTTGGTTCAAAGAGATACTCAGGTAGAAAGATTTTCTGATTCCTGCCTTAAGATGGAAGCTCCCCCTCCTTATGTTATGACTTCCTTTGTTTGGCTAACTTCATAGATTCAGCCACTTGGAAACCATATGAGATTGAGGAAGTTACTCAACCTCTCTCTGCCTCATCAAACACTCTCTGTTTCATCATCTGTACAATGGGGACAATAACAATATCAATTTCATTGAGCTGCTGTGGGAATTAAGTACAATCACACTTGTAACGTGCTTGGAAGAGTGCATACCTGAAACACCTCCTGGCAAGCACTTAATAAATATTAGACACTAATAGTTTCCTGGAAGAAAGGCTGGCCAATCTATTTCTGAAGAAAATCAGCCACTGAAAACTCCAGAGCACAGTTCTTCTCTGACACACATGGGGTTGCAATTCATAACTGGTAATAAAATTGTTTCCTGTGTTTCTTGCCCAAAGTCTCCTGACTGTCAGGTGACGATAAGCCTAGTTATTATCTTCCATTTGCAGTGGAGGAAACCGAGGCAGGCTAGGTCAGCTTTCTGAGGACATACTGCAGGGACTGGTAGAACCTAGTATCTTTCCATCATTCTGGTCTTGCACACAGAAGGTGCCTAATACATAAATACTGAAATAAGCTGAACTACATGGATTTTACACCATTTCAAGGACTTTTAAACGTCAGGATAAATAACAGGATTGGATGTGGATGTGGGCCATTTTCTTCAAACCACAATATAGCACCTTTCCCTATTCTGCGGGTTTCACCAGAGCCACTTGTTGGACAAAATGTGATTGTGTTCAAGTGTTACAAGCATTACTTGTGAATTTTTGAAGTACATCTTCATATCAATAATGAAAGGAAACCGGCATCATTCCGAATAAAAACTAAAACAAGGGAGCTGTAGTACAGAGAACTCACCCTCCCGTGGACCCTGTATCCCCTTTAATTTTCCAAAAGCCTGAGGTTGAGCAAACACTGTGAAGTAATTCCAAATTATTTAGGAAATTCATTTCTTTGTAATTAAGGAGATTAAAGTCCTTCAGGGCTAGAAACCATGTGACAAATTATTTTTCCCCACTAAAAGCTGTGAAACCCTATCAGTTAAATTCAGGCTCGCCTAGAATTTTGAAATGCTTCAATAATGTTTTCCCTGCTCCATACAATCTGCAGTAATTTAATATTCCTGAAGTGTGTCAGGTTTTTCATAATGAGCTCTTCAAATCTAAATGTGAATTATGTAACATTCCACTACAGACATTCTGTCTAGTGAACTGCTTCTAAAATGTAAAATCCTGTGTTCAGTGATGGGGGTGGGGGGGCCAAAACACCAAACCATAAAGCAAAGAAAACAGATATGCCTTTCTTTTAAGACAAAGCACAAAGGTTTGAGCAGCTAGAACAGAGCAAACACATACTAAAACATACAACGTACATTTGTATTCCCTCTCCTCCACCCTGCCTCTCTCCTCATATGATCCTACAGTAAAATAAATAATGTTTATTGAGGAGTCGTCGGGTAGTACAAACAGTTAACATGCTCAGCTGCTAACCAGAAGATTGGAAGGTTGAGTCTACCCCAGAGGCAACTCGGAAGAAAAGCCTGGCAATATACTTCTGAAAAATCAGCCATGGAAAACTCTACGAAGCACAGTTCTACTCACACACATGGGGTCACCATGAGTAAGAAGTGACCCAATGGCAAGAGGTATTGAGGATCCACTACTGTATATTTACGCAAATAACTCACGTTCTACGTCTGTGTGCCAACCACACCCACCCCCACAAGTATTTTTTCATAATCGCGATGAAATTTTTGCCGTAAACAGTTAGCAGAGAGCACTTACGAAAATACCTAGGGGCAGGGCGGGAGGCAAGGTTGGCAAACAACCATAGAAGGCATGAGTTATTAGCATGAAAATACAGTAGTTTCGAGGTATAATGCTATGAGCTTTTCATATATTATTGTATTCAATCCTTTCAACAACTTGAAGTGTTAGATATGATTATATTTATTTAACATATAAGAAAACTGAGACACCAGCAGATTTAGTAGCTTGCCTGAGGTCACATGGCCAGTAAATATCTCAGCACAG